TATGATGATTACTCCCGTTTCGATGATGATTATTCCCATGTATATGATGGTTACTCCCATGTCTATGATGATTACTCCCATTTCGATGATGATTATTCCCATGTATATGATGATTACGCCCATGTCTATGACGATTACTCCCATGTCAATAATGATTACTCTCATGTCAATGATGATTACTCCCATGTCAATGATGATTACTCCCATATTGACTACTCCCATGTCAATGATGATTACTCCCATGTCTATGATGATTACTCCCATGTCTATGACGATTACTCCCACGTCTATGACGATTACTCCTATGTCAATGATGATTACTCCCATGCCAATGGTGATAACTCCCATGTCTATGTTGATTACCCCGATGTCAATGATGATTACTCTCGTGTCGATAATCATTACTCTATGTCGACGATGACTCCCATGTCAATGATGATTACTCCCATGTCAATGATGATTACTCCCATGTCAATGATGATTACTCCCATATTGACTACTCCCATGTCAATGATGATTACTCCTATGTCTATGATGATTACTCCCATGTCTATGACGATTACTCCCATGTCTATGACGATTACTCCCATGTCAATGATGATTACTTCCATGTCTATAATGATTACCCCCATGTCTCTGACGATTACTCCCATGTCAATGATGATTACTCCCATGTCAATGATGATTACTCCCATGTCAATGATGATTACTCCCATGTCTATGACGATTACTCCCATGTCAATGATGATTACTCCCATGTCTATGATGATTACTCCCATGTCAATGATGATTACTCGCATGTTTATGACGATTACTCCCATGTCAATGATGATTACTCCCATGTCGATGATAATTACTCCCATGTCGATGATAATTACTCCCATGTCGATAATCATTACGCCCTTTTTTCTGCACATAACAGTAATTGATGTTGCTGAATTTTTTTGCAACCACTTTTACATAAAAGGGATTGCAAAGTAATTTTCTGATACTTAATGTCTATCAAGGACACTAATATCATCGATTTGTACCATTCCAATTTTCAGTCAGACGTCACTTTTTAAGCTAAACGTTTTATGACAATCGCAAAGGTCCTTATATGGTATGGGCAGTTTTTGCAATAGTGTCGTCATTTACGGTTAAGTACTTATAGTATTCCTGGAAACAAAGACATCTGACAGAAATTTGGAATGCTTCAAAAAGAAGCCATATCATGATTCTGATTCACACAAAAAAAAAACTATATGAATCAGCACATATAGTATGATTAATCTGTTTCAGTCTTGTTTTTAAGCTGTTAGTTATAAAATGGATATGTACACTATTTTAGGGGGTTGATTTGAATCTTGAATACATGTAGATAGTCTTCAGAAGTACTAGAAATGTACGAAAATCACATAATTCCTTCAAAAATATCTCAAACTAGGAATTTCTTTTCCGATTTCTAGAGACGTCTTTTTATATCACAGAGTATCTTAAAATTTTAACATTCAAACGCGGATAATTTTGGACAAACATGGATTTGATGGTGAGCTGTGAACAATTTGCTGATTAGCTAATCTTATTAATTCCCGTTTCTGAAACCAAAGTAGGGCTTACAATTGGTCAAACGAATGGCGCATCTGTCCCTTTAACTTTACATACAGATAGCCTATTTCCCATTTTTTATACCAATAATTATAAATGATATGATATATAATGATATGAGAGAATGTACTTTACTTCCCGATTGAATTATCACATGAGTTAATATCTGAATTTTAATTTTAGATATCTAATTACTTGGGGAATTTTCAATAAAACTTCAAACAACATATATCAGATAGCAGTCGACAGTTAGAAATCGAAAAGGAGCAGATTAATACTGCAGGCCCTCAATACACGCTTCATTGGCCCACTGAGGTGCAGAACAGTTGAATAATTTATCATTAAAATGTAAGGCAAACCATCTTTAAGACATATTATTATAATTATTATTATATACGACATTTTTTCCGTTCATTAGGGTGAGAGGTATCAGACGAATTGACGGGCCAGAGGGATTATGGGCATGGCCTAATGGCCTGCCCTAAATATACCATTGATAACACGGACCTGCTGTTTTTTTCCATTGCCAACAATTTAGATACAGATTGTCTCGGATTATTCTTGATTATACGGGCCAACAAAATGAAATGAATGGTGTTTTACGCCCTACTTTTTTTGCACCATGTGGGCAACGCCATGCAGGGTGCGATGAGGGAAATTTTGCCAGGACAGCGGCATTAGTCTGCTCTTTTTCGATTTCCAACTGTCGAGGGATCTTTAACGTGCACAGCCTGTAGCACGCGGGGCCTCGGTTTATTGTCTCTTACGAACGACTGGGCGCTTTTTCCATGTCAGCCCCTCTTACTTGCATCACTGACAGGGGGAAACCGGGTTGAAAAATCCGAAGTTATTATCTCGACCTATGCCAGGATTGAACCCTGGATCTTCAGGTTAGCGAGCAAGCGTCTAACTCACTGAGCTACCGCGGCTCCCAAACGGACCAACAGTTGCTTTATTAAATGTACGCCCCGTCTATGTAGTGCTATATCAGCCTCCATATGAAAGAACCAGTGGGTCATCTTGGGGTCGATATAGGGCCTCTGGACAAGATTCTAATCTCTGCAGCAACACAGGTTCCCAAGTTCCAAGAAATACAAGACCAAGAAGATGTTACAGATGGTGACCCCAACTCCCAAAACACATAACACAATCAAATCATGCAAGATATATTCTAGTTTCATTAAGGATTATATATGTCTATTCTGGCATTGTTGAAAAAATTACAATTCAGTACAAACGAAATTCAGACTTAAAGAGATTGTAAAGCGGTTTTATAATATTTGTATGGGTATTAGAAACACAATGTACAATGCATCAATGTACATCATTCAAATTTTAAATCAGACGTACATGGTTCTTGTAATTCCACAGTGTTTGATGACGTCACTAATCGCAAAATATGTTTTATCACATAAAGCCCTCCGCGGTTAGTGACGTCGTCACATAAAAAAAAGATAGAAAAACCTCTTCATAATCATTAAAATCAGGCACTAGTCCGCAACTAGCTGATCCATACCTTACCACTGATAAAAATTAGTTGCTAATGGTAGACCTCTATCAAACAATTATCAACAAATTGCGGACTAGTATTGACTGTTTTATTTGAGCTTTTCGGTTGTATTTTGGTATACTTGATCTTCTAGTGTCATAATACATTGCATAGTTTTGTCTCCAATGGCATACGCTGTGCCGTTACCGAGAGGCAAATCCTGGCTCAATTCGGAGAAGGTGAAACAGTACCTTATGTTGTCATCGTTATCATACATCCCTCTGTATAGGTAATATGATAGACAGAGCGGTTGACTTTCACAAATAGATTCACAATACAATATAGCCTCTTGATCCGTTTCCATATTTGGATAAAAATGGATATCGTCCTCATCTCTAGGAGTATCTGTACTGTTTCCACCGAATCTAAGAGAACCACCACTTCTACAACCAAATCCTTGGCCGTCAATACCATTGCCAACTTTAGGTCCCCCTCTACTTTCGAGCCGTTGGGCATTGTCACCATTGGCAGCTCTGCGTCCAAAACTATCGTATCCATGGTTACCAGTGTGTCCATCGTGCGAACCATGTGGACCACCTCTACGTTCTAGCCGTTGGGCATCGTCAACATTGACAGCTCTACGTCCAAAACTATCGTATCCATGGTTACCAGTGTGTCCATCGTGCGAACCATGTGGACCACCTCTACGTTCCAGCCGTTGGGCATCGTCATCATTGACAGCTCTACCTCCAAACCTATCGTATCCATAGTTACCAGTGTGTCCAGTGTGCGAACCATGTGGACCACCTCTACGTTCTAGCCGTTGGGCATCGTCATCATTGACAGCTCTACCTCCAAACCTATCGTATCCATAGTTACCAGTGTGTCCAGTGTGCGAACCATGTGGACCACCTCTACGTTCTAGCCGTTGGGCATCGTCAATATTGACAGCTCTACGTCCAAAACTATCGTAACCATGGTTACCAGTGTGTCCATCGTGCGAACCATGTGGACCACCTCTACGTTCTAGCCGTTGGGCATCGTCAATATTGACAGCTCTACGTCCAAAACTATCGTATCCATAGTTACCAGTGTGTCCATCGTGCGAACCATGTGGACCACCTCTACGTTCCAGCCGTTGGACATCGTCAATATTGACAGCTCTACGTCCAAAACTATCGTATCCATAGTAACCAGTGTGTCCATCGTGCGAACCATGTGGACCACCTCTACGTTCGAGCCGTTGGACATCGTCACCATTGACAGCTCTACGTCCAAAACTATCGTGTCCATGGTTACCAGTGTGTCCATCGTGCGAACCATGTGGACCACCTCTACGTTCCAGCCGTTGGGCATCGTCATCATTGACAGCTCTACCTCCAAACCTATCGTATCCATAGTTACCAGTGTGTCCAGTGTGCGAACCATGAAGCGTTTACTGCCGAACTCAGAGAAAAAACTCCGACATCGATCTTCTTTTCACCATTTTCAAACTCTTTAAACTGGCACTCTGTAAAAATTGAAAGTAAAAAATAATTAGTCCTACTTGGGCGCTTATAGATTTAAAACCTAACTTAGTGTTCCAGTCATCTGATTGGTCTATTGCTAAAATCGACTTTGAAACTAGTTTTCTAATCCAATCATATTACATGGGTATAAGCAAGACAATTCCATTAATCAAATTCTCGTCCAAAGTATGGCAAAATCGAGAGAAAAGAGAAAGATGGTAACGATCGTTAAATTCCACCAGATCAAACCATGCCTGACCAAACAAATCAGCCAAAATGACATAAACAGATTTATTGTAATTATAAAGGACTTCTGCAAAACGACCATAAAATTTCCAGCATGACATATGAAGTTTATGTGTCAAGTAACCTTGTTTCAGCAATTTCAAAGTTAATACTCGACCTCTATGCTAGGAAATCCTCAAAAAGACAACAACATACCGGCTAAGTTGTGAAATGTTCGGTGATTGAGGTATGTTACTGCACATGAATGCACAATTTACTGTAGGAATATCAAAGTCGTCACGTTTGTCATAAAGTCGGACACAAAGATCGTGGTAATTGACAATTTCAAGAAGCAAATCCTAGTCTTAGAATCAGTGGTGTCCTTTTCCAACTCTCCTAGGTAGATTTTATCTACATAGTCTCCATAAGCGGAGTTACTCAATGACGAAACGTTCTCTATAAGTATATAAGGAACGAGCTGGTTGCATACTACCCTTGCGTCGGAGTCTTTGAATAAATTCTGCCTCATTAGAGTAACGAAATAATTCAGCAAGTAAAGTAGCACAATTAATATCCACAGGAATACCAGTTACTTGTTTAATTATCTTCCTCCCAAATTCGACAAATATGTTATCTATTAAAAGATTCAATATTTTATAGCCATCATAAAAATATTGAGAGAACTGGGTTGTAGATATCCTTCAGATGGCATTTTCGGGGGTTGATTTGGGTATCCGAAAGTTGTACGTCTTTTTTGATATTGTCTCTGACACCCAGACATCTTTCGTCAAAGCTGGGATTGGTTGATTGAGGCTACTGTGTAATTTTTACTTTTACTTTTTTTTAAAGGGAACATCTGAATTTTTTAAGAAAGTTGGAAATTTTTTTTTGCTCAAAATTGTGAAAACTATACACCAAAATCTAGGGAAATGTGTCTCTTAACTTATCTAAAAGTTTTGGAATATCCTGTCGTTCAATTTAGAACGCCAAAACAAATCAAAAGGTTAACTTTTAAACATTTTAACGATGCTATGTTTTTTTAGTTGATGTTAGAAATCTAATGTACGAATTTTAGCAAAATAAAAGCCAAATTGTAGAGAAATATGTCTCCTACTTATTTTGAAAGGTTTTATCAAAAACTTTCGAAACTCTAAATCAAAACTAGAACAAACTGCTTAATTAATTATTAGAATATACACTCTGGTTTCAATCGCCCTTTTTAAATCGACTTCAGGAAGATCAGGTTTATATATAGATTTTATAAATCTTTCCATGTAAAATTTACAATATTTTTGAAAATAAAAATTGTCCATACCGCCTTTTCAAAAATCGTGAAATAGGAGTAATTATTTTGTATAGGAATTGGAAAAAGAACGAAAATACTTGCCATATTCACAGATTTTCCCCAAAAAACCAGGAGGACATTGACAGACTTGTGTCTCTCCATCATCAATACATGTACCCGCATTCTTACAACTGTTTGAGGTACAATTAAATTCTATAATGGAATTAAAAGAAAATTTAAATGAGTCTGGAAGGTTAACTATCTCTTACACTTGGCCAATATGATTCTTTGTTCATCAGTGGACTTACCTGATGTTAAAACTAAACGACAGTATCCCTCTATAATTCAATTTGAAACACGCTTAGAACCTTTTTCCAATAATTACTTGATTTAATAGATATATCGTGTTAAATAGAGATTCTATTCTTTAGTCATGGCACCTGGTAAATCCAACTAATGAATAAAATTTATACTATTGACCAAGTTTGGGACTTTAATGCTCAGTTCACACCAACAGCGCTTTGATCGCGCTTTAAAGCGGCGTACAAAGCGGTACCAAAGCGTAACAAAGCTCGACTAAAGCGCCAGGGTCGTGATAGATCGTTGGAAAGCTTTGAGCAAAGCTGGATATTCGGCAAGAGCGCCAAAAAATTTTAAACTGTTTTGGGCGCTCTGTCACGAATTGTTTAAAGCGCCGAGAACGTATCAAAGCTTAACAAAGCGTAACAAAGTTCAGCAAAGCTTGACTCAAAGGAAAGCTTAACAGAGCTTTATTCAAAGCGGGGACCCCAGTCTTCACGGTCTGTCACCACTTGCTAAAAATTTTGTCCAATTTTGCAGACAAATGGCCGAAAACACGCAATCTAATAAGATTACCATATGGTTTCGCAATTGTTATTTTGTTTTTTTAGACTCTACTATGATCTGAAAAGATTTATATGACAGCGCGTCATGGAGAATCCGTAATGACTTTGCCGATGTAAAGTGATTCTAAATGGCGGGAGAGTGGCGTGTCTGCAATAAATAGCTTGTAGCTACCTTGGTAAAAGTCTTCTTAGATTACAAATAGACAGAAAATAGAATAATAACGAAATTCAATTTGAATTCGATTGGATAACACGAAACTACCTCCTGCTCGGAAATAGGCCTATGAGACCTACCTTTACAGTCTTCACAATTCTCCTTCAGTTCTTTATTAATTTGTTTATTGTCCAGGCATTCGGTGGTATTAAGGCAGCGTTCCAAAATGGTCGGCTGGGTTTCAGGGCTAGTTACAGAATCCCTTTTCATGAGGCTGTCTCCGTTCGTTCCCTTCCCAGCGTCCATAAGTTGAAAGTTAACCAGAGTTATAGCTATCATTAGAATCAACTTCATATTGATGTTCAAATAGGTGACCATCTTTGTACGTTGTGCTGATGTTCAGAGTGATGACCAATCTTTACAGTTTGTATTATATATGTGGCTAGAATATACAGCGAGGTTTCGTTTCACCAAACTTGATGTCAGATTCGCGTCAGTAACTTGTCGTGATATTCTTTTCACAGGTGTTGGTTTTTTTGGTGAAGTTTAAAGGGATTGTAAAGGGGTTCTCTAAATTGTTTATATATTTTCTATCAGACTTCTTGCTAATTCTACTTGATGCAACCTGTGTCCCCGATACACATAACATTTTATGAAAACTTCTTTACAATCTCTTTAACAAGGGCAATTAACGGAGACGACTCAGGACTCATGAGGGGCGTGTGTTCCATCAATAGAGTGTAATCTCTTACTTTCCCTTGGCTCTCTCAATCCACAATTCCAACACCGCCTTTCTCTCGTTTACAGTTAAAGATGGACCTTCTCCACATTTGTCCCTGTAGCTGTTCATTTAAATAAATACAAAGTTTAGATATTTAAATTATTCAAGAATTCAAGACAAGGCCCTACCGACATCCATTGAAATTAGCGAGGACTAGCTCATTGAATAGTTATTTGGTCGGAATAAATTGATTGCTCCCATTTAGATTTTTAGTAATTAGTTCGTAATTTATCTGCAGTTGACTAAAATTTGATGAGAAAAATACGACATGAAACGAAACATACAGTATTGTGGTATTTAAACTTATTAAAATATGTTATTTACATCTATGTTTCTACTTCATCAAACTGAATTTGTTTTAAAACGGTTAATTAAGAAGGGAATGTACTAATTAACTAATTAAGCATAATTACAGTGAATTCTAAAATGTTCAATGACAAATGTTTAAAGTGAAGATTTCATTTACTCAACAGACATTTTGTATGCAATACCTGAGTTGATGACAGTTTAACAAATATCATTTATGCTATTTTCACTAATATAAAAGCTAAAATATAATAAAAAAAAGCCCAAAAGGCAGTGAAAAAGACGAAAGATATATGATACGAAACGTCATTTAACAATATTGTACGATGCATCTTCTCTTTTGTCATATCATTTTTTTTTACAACCATCACATGACAGTCACGTGATTTAGAATATTAAATATTCCCGACCAAGGGCAGGTATCTCCCAACTTAGCCTTTTATTAGGTTGCTTATTCTTGAAACGATCTTAGCGCTAGGATGTCCTAACTTCTTATCTTCTAACTTAGATTCTAGAACATTCTAGCTAAGATTGTTTCGAGAATACGTGGCCTACATGTTTCCCTTTTCAAAATGGCACATGTCAATCAAGAAGTTGGGGTATACCTTCGCTATATGCAGGATATTCATTATTGAATTTTGAATGGCAATGCCAGCCCACTTTTGCCTGCTTGAAGATAAAAAACGCATAACAAAATATCTGATTTGCTACTCAATTTATCAATAATAATATTATAATTATAGCAATTTACCATTTTTTAAGTATAAGAATTTGTTTTTTTTTATATGAAAGTATGTTGTGTTTAAAATATGTTGTTTTTAAAATATATCGATTATTTATATGAAAATATGTTGTTTATTAAATGAAAATATGTTTTTGTTTTTGTATGTCCAATATCAAACTCACATTGACTAAACTATTCCTGTGTCCTAGCAAACAGCAAACCAACTTTCCGTTGACTAAGTTATTCCACTGTCCTAGCAGACAACAAACCAACTTTCCGTTGACTAAGTTATTCCACTGTCCTAGCAGACAACAAACCAACTTTCCGTTGACTAAGTTATTCCACTGTCCTAGCAGACAACAAACCAACTTTCCGTTGACTAAGTTATTCCACTGTCCTAGCAGACAACAAACCAACTTTCCGTTGACTAAGTTATTCCACTGTCCTAGCAGACAACAAACCAACTTTCCGTTGACTAAGTTATTCCACTGTCCTAGCAAACAACAATCCAACTTTCCGTTGACTAAGTTATTCCACTGTCCTAGCAGACAACAAACCAACTTTCCGTTGACTAAACTATCCCACAGTCCAAGCAAATGACCAACCGCATCAAAATCGTATTGTTAGTTTTACTGCTTTTATAAAACAAAAACTATATGAATCAGCACATATAGTATGATTAATCTGTTTCAGTCTTGTTTTTAAGCTGTTAGTTATAAAATGGATATGTACACTATTTTAGGGGGTTGATTTGAATCTTGAATACATGTAGATAGTCTTCAGAAGTACTAGAAATGTACGAAAATCGCATAATTCCTTTTAACTATGAATTTCTTTTCCGAGTATCTTAAAATTTTAACGTTCTGGTCACAGATGGATTCGATGATGAGCTGTGAACACTATTACTGATTAGCTTAGCTAATTAATTCCCGTTTCTGAAACCAAAGTAGGGCTTACAATTGGTCAAACGAATGGCGCATCTGTCCCTTTAACTTTACATACAGATAGCCTATTTCCCATTTTTTATACCAATAATTATAAATTTTGAATTTTGACGCATCAGGTGATTATCTCACATTGTGTATTGATATGAGAGAATGTACTTTACTTCCCGATTGAATTATCACATGAGTTAATATCAGAATTTTAATTTTAGATATCTAATTACTTGGGTAATGTCAAACTTCAAACAACATATATCAGATAGCAGGTATTTTTTTTAAATGGATAATGGAGTAAAAACCTGTTCTCTCTCGTTTGATACATCTTTATTTCAGCCATCCGTAACACTTTTCAAATGTAAAATCTGATGTACTGTTCTTGTTCTATCAAATTAAATTCAGGTATATCTATCATCCGAAATTGAGGCCTTTCCGTATTAGCTAAAATTGAGATCTATCAACTGAAATTGAGCTCTATCTATAAGCTTACATTTTGATCTATCTACCAGCTGAAATTTCGCTCCTTCTATAAACTGAAATTTTGCTCTATAAACTGAAATTTTGCTCTATCTATTATTTGAACTAATGAGCTATATCTGTAATGTATAGGACTCAATACTCTGTAGATATATACTATTTTATTTCATTGTCTTGTTTTAGTTAAGTAGTCAAGCAGTTGGGTAATTGGGGGTTAGCTATTGGGCCATTGGGTCATGCCCCTACCCCTGAGGAATGTGAAAAGTCAATTTTGAACCTATTTCAAACCCTCTGACTGGTCAAAATTCATTTCAGTCCATTTGAAATTTGTTGGTTTAGGCCTCGGAAAATCGCGTCTCATTTTCTCTCAAAATCACCTTCAGTTATTTTCTCTGGACACCACCCCCACCTCCCTTCAGTTATTTTCTCTGGACACCACCCCCACCTCCCTTCAGTTATTTTCTCTGGACACCACCCCCACCTCCCTTCAGTTATTTTCTCTGAACACCACCCCCACCTCCCTTCAGTTATTTTCTCTGGACACCACCCCTACCTCCCTTCAGTTATTTTCTCTGGACACCACCCCCACCTCCCTTCAGTTATTTTCTCTGGACACCACCCCCACCTCCCTTCAGTTATTTTATCTGGACACCACCCCCACCTCAATTCAGTTATTTTCTCTGGACACCACCCCACCTCCCTTCAGTTATTTTCTCTGGACACCACCCCCACCTCCCTTCAGTTATTTTCTCTGGACACCACCCCCACCTCAATTCAGTTATTTTCTCTGGACACCACCCCCACTTCCCTTCAGTTATTTTCTCTGGACACCACCCCCACCTCCCTTCAGTTATTTTCTCTGGACACCACCCCCACCTCCCTTCAGTTATTTTCTCTGGACACCACCCCCACCTCCCTTCAGTTATTTTCTCTGGACACCCCCCCACCTCCCTTCAGTTATTTTCTCTGCACACCACCCCCACCTCAATTCAGTTATTTTCTCTGGACACCACCCCCACCTCCCTTCAGTTATTTTCTCTGGACACCACCCCCACCTCAATTCAGTTATTTTCTCTGGACACCACCCCCATCCCCCTTCGGTTATTTTCTCGACACCTGCAGAAAAGAAACTCGATAACCCGAACCTTTTTAAAAATGACTGATCATTTGGCACAACTTTTCCAACTTCATTATTCAATATATATATTGAGTCACGAAGAGGAAGTTTGTTTCGTCACGTTTCTCTCTGGCAATATGTCAGGTTCTATGTTAGGTTAACTTTAAAACTATCTCGGTAATGAATTGTAGATTTTGTTGTGTCATCTTGTCCGGGGCTCTTTAATTCCGGTGTTTTACTAACACTTTGTCAAATGATAGTAATATTGCGACCTGAATATAGTGCGTAGATGTAGAGCTAGGGGTAACACTGACCCTTACTGAAGCATATGATGCTATAATGTGACTACCGTTTAAGCAATTTTACATTCGTTTTGAATTGTGAGAGCAAACAAAATTGTGAGAGCGTTTAGATGTTTTGTGGTCATGTACTTGACCACAGCAGAATAGTCTGTCCGTCTAAAAGTAGGACGTAAAACTCCATTAATCTCATTTTTGTCCAGTTAATACACATGTACATTGTATATTTTTCATTCATTCATTCATTATATTTTCCCCATGGACTGAATGTTAGACAGGACCATGTCCTTGTGTATTGGACCTAATTCTGACCCATGCAAAATAAATAGTCTATGTTTGTCCTCATGGACTGAATGTTAGACAGGATCATGTCCTTGTGTATTGGACCTAATTCTGACCCATATAAAATAAATAGTCTATGTTTGTCCCCATGGACTGAATGTTAGACAGGACCATGTCCTTGTGTATTGGACCTAATTCTGACCCATATAAAATAAATAGTCTATGTTTGTCCTCATGGACTGAATGTTAGACAGGACCGTGCCCTTGTGTATTGGACCTAATTCTGACCCATATAAAATAAATAGTCTATGTTTGTCCCCATGGACTGAATGTTAGACAGGACCATGTCCTTGTGTATTGGACCTAATTCTGACCCATATAAAATAAAGAGTCTATGTTTGTCCCCATGGACTGAATGTTAGACAGGACCATGTCCTTGTGTATTGGACCTAACTCTGACCCATGTAAAATAAATAGTCTATGTTTGTCTTCATGGACTGAATGTTAGACAGGACCATGCCCTTGTGTATTGGACCTAATTCTGACCCATATAAAATAAAGAGTCTATGTTTGTCTTCATGGTCTGAATGTTAGACAGGACCATGTCACTTTGGTGTATTGGACCTAATTCTGACCCATGTTTAGAGTTTATTATTATTAATCGATTTCTTCGGATTCCGGACGGTAGGGCAACTTACACCATCGAACTCCTATCTTCTATATTTAGATACGACAAATACCAATACAAATATCAGAAAAGTTCCGTTTCCTGCCAAAAAAACGCATTGATTGAGCAATTCAGAGATGGTTTGCAAAACTAGATAGCTCTCCATCTGTACCCCAGTCTTGACAGACTAGTAGCATACTTCCTAAAATCTAGAATACATCGCCATTGCACGAATGTATAGGTTTAGTTGAGCAAGTTGCAAATGAAAAACTATTTTGTAGATGAATGTAGATTTTGTAAATTTGGTCTATAAGAAATATAGTTTATGACATTTCATTTCTCTTCCCTCGACTTTCAAGTCATGTAGACTGTTAGATTTTTAAAGCAGTTCATCAAAAACGCCGAGGTTCTTTAAGTCTGTCTTTAAATCTTCCAACTGATTGTCCGGGAATGGTAGTTCAGGAAGACGAGGTTGTCCCAAATTCACTCCAAAACATTTCGTGATAGCTTTAATAACTCCAATACCACCACCTAAAACAAAGAAGAATATTGTGAATATTTAATATGAATTATCATATATTCTTAATCATATCATTATGTTCTTACTGCATATAATTAAGAGTTTTAACCAATCATAAATGTCCATGTAAGTACAGTCTGGATAAACAAAAAAAACTTTTAGACCTTTCTTGATCGGTCACTCATTGGAATTCTGGTCGTAATTTTCTTCTAATTTAGCTAATTATGTATTAATTATAGACAAACTGGTATTTTTCCAAGTCATAAGAACTTTCTATTTATATAAGTTTTATTAGCATTTTCTAAGGAAACCCATCTTTAAATGATAAATCTGTCATAGACGTTTCATAAAATTTCATGTCAGCTTTAAGGCACCACTAATTAAAGTATTATCAGTTTTGAATTTGTTTTTTTTTTTTTAAATCAAAAGATTTATTTCGAACATTTCCTAAACACTTTACAAAAACACTTTTTAATACTGAATATTATAACATTATATTTTCATATGGTCATGAAGATCTCGTAAACCAATCATGATAGCTTTAATATAATTGACATCTCGTAAACAGACCACGATTACTTTAATATCTTTGACATCTCGTAAACAGACCACGATTACTTTAATATCTTTGACATCTCGTAAACCGATCATGATAGCTTTAATATCATTGATATCTCGTAAACTGAGCATGATAGCTTTAATATCATTGACATCATGTAAACAAACCATGGTAGCTTTAATATCATTGACATCATGTAAACAAACCATGGTAGCTTTAATATCATTGACATCATGTAAACAGACCATGATAGCTTTAATATCATTGACATCTCATCTTTCTTGTTTCGCCATTTTTTATATTAAAAGTGAAATATGACACTTCGGGGTTAAAAATTTACAATGTACATTAATTAATATGTGCATATTAGATTATTTTTTATCAGAATATACACTGTTAGTAATTTTCAATATTCTACTAGTTTTTGTTCTATTTTTATATTTTGATGAAGAGAAATTTTAATTCTGATATTGACATTTCATGTTTTATTTACGTATGGTAAACGAATTATTTTAGGGTAGTTGAAAAGTGCCTTTATCGTCTTTTCTATATACCACAGAGTATCTCAAAATGACGAGTCGTCAAAACGCGGATAATTATGGACACACATGGATTTGATGGCTTACATTTCGACGGTGAGCTGTGAACATTATTACTGATTAGATTAGCTAAACCATTTCCGTTTCTGAGACTAAGATATGATTAGACAAACCTGTTCCTTTCATATTTCCAACCTGGTAGAGCCCAATTTCACCTAGCGATATCACGGGGGCCATGTGCTTGGAAGCTTAACTTATGATGACTGTAGTGTTCCAGTCATCTCATTGGTCAATCATTAGAATTGATTTTAAATCTAGTTTTGTTATCCAATCAGATTACGGTATTTTATTTAAGTTATATTTTGGAGAATAAGGCCTAGGATAAGTGTATGACTTCTTATTCGCACGTAATAACAGACAAACGAACCGTCTACATTTTAGTTGGTAGTCACAGGCTGACCAGCGGCCTTAAAATTCCTCAAAATATGCTAATTTTATTCCGTGTTGCTAAAATTCCGCAGTTGAAATGAAGGGGAAATCGTAAAAAAGCCCCGATTTTGTCAATTCCTATACTACTTATCAGCGCTGGTAATTGTGAATTAGGATATTGATGTATTGAGTGAGCTCCCTAGACAAAATTTGGGACCACGTGACTAAAGCTGCGAATAGACGATGTACAGTGGCCAGTGCGGTGTACGGTGTGGCATTATCGATACAGTAGAAAATAAAGCAACTGAACAAACGATTCGCTTTTACAATTTTCTACTGTATCGATAATCCCGTACACCGCACCGGACACCGCAACGTACACCGTACATGGTCGTCTCCCACCTTGACTGAGTGTTGATGAAAAAAAGATCAACTCACCATATTTGGTGTTTATATCAGATAAGCTGGAGAAGATTGCCTAAAAATAACAAAGAAATAGAATGCTGTGTAATATTCTACTTGAACTAGTTATTACATGAGGATTCATTAAAAGATGCCCGTATCAAATTTATATTATATGGACTCTGCCAAGTTGATAAACCTAAATACCAAATAAACAATATTAGCTATGTGGACTCTCTGAAAGAGATGTAAAATTGATAAACCTAAATACCAAATAAACATTATTAGCTATGTGAACTCTCTGAAAGGAATGCCAAGTTGACAAACCTAAATACCAAATAAACATTATTATCTATGTGGACTCTCTGCCAAGTTGATAAACCTAAATACCAAATAAACAATATTAGCTATGTGAACTCCCTGAAAGAGATGTAAAATTGATAAACCTAAATACCAAATAAACATTATTAGCTATGTGGACTCTCTGAAAGAGATGTAAAATTGATAAACCTAAATACCAAATAAACATTATTACTTATGTGAACTCTCTGAAAGAGATGCTGTGTTGACACACCTAAATACCAAATAAACATTATTAGCTTTGTGAACTCTCTGAAAGGGGTGCCTAGTTGACAAACCTAAATACCAAATAAACATGTTTAGCTATGTGGACTCTCTGAAAGGAATGCCAAATTGACAAACCTTAATACCAAATAAGCAATATTAGCTATGTGGACTCTCTGAAACCAAGATACGAAATAAACATTATTTGTTCTGTGGACCCTCTTGCGTTTATATCGAATATCGGATTTATTGTACCAGCTATGTAGTTGACAAACCTTACCTACCAAATAAACAATATTAGCTATGTGGACTCTCTGAAAGGAATGCCAAGTTGATAAACCTAAATACCAAATAAACAGATTTATTGTATGTGGACTCCGTGTGGTTATTGATTATCTGAGTTGGGCGCATGTCAAGTGTGCGGGTAGGGTGAGTATCGTCACTTAACTTACCTGTATTTTTCGAGCTGTTTTCATATCGCCCTGTTTAAAGGCCTTCTGAAGCTGGTTGAAGAGTTTAGAATAGTGACCATAAACAACTGGTACCTCTACTCCTAGTGCCAACATTGCCAGGAACTGTTGGAAATATTATATTGAATTAACTTGTATATGACTTACTACTTACTAGCAATCTACTGTCCCTTTCAGGCCTGTTGCCATGGGACAAGGTGGGGGTAAGGTGGGGGCGGAAGGGGGGGAATGCCCCACCTAAAAAGACGACCGACCAATTCCATTACTGCAACTAAACACCACAAGTGTACAGTGTACTCCATTGTCCATCCAGATGCATGACTTACCCCTTCAAACAATCAAATCTGGTTACGGGCCATGTAGCCATCTTGATATATATTGGACACATGAAACTTTATAAGACAGACGACAACGAACAAATAAATGGACTATTCTTTTCTTGTTTGAAATCGTCCCTGCATGTGCCTTTATCCTTCATCCACACACCTTCTAAATACCATTTTACCTACCATATCCGAGCCACACATGATCTGCATGTTATCGTCCGCCAAGGTAGAATCAAATAGACCAGACATCTCGGGACAGGAAAATTTTGCTCCCCTAAGATTGGGAATTCGACTTTTACCCAGTTCTAGGATTTTACGGGTATTCACTGCAATGCAAAAAATCTGTTTCTAATGTTTCGTTTCATACACTACCCCAGGAATCTCTTCACAAAGTCAAGCTATTCATGGACTGATACCTTGAATGTAATAGACACCCTTCTTGTATCACGGAAGTTGGTAAATGCAATGGTTTGATTGGAATGTACTGAATAATAGCCCCTGATTATATACTAGCAGGTGTCTATTGCAGTCAAGGTTTTAGATTCAGTTTGTATTAGCTTGACGTTGTTAAAATGTCTAAACAACGTTTATTGAATATCAGCCTCACATGGTAATAATAGAATCAAATCAAAATCGGGCTAGCATCTTTTCCCCTGATATCTTAATTATAACTCTGTACATCATCTTAATATTGATATACCGTTATTTATACACACTCTAATGTGTGCTTGTTACTTCTTGTATGTCATTGGATTATGGATTTAGAAGAACTTACAGTATACCCCTGTGAGAAAGTTAATATCGTAATAATAGAACGGTGTGTTAGGAGCTGCCGCGGCTATAGGCTCCAAAAACTGTACAACTGCCTCTAAAATAATAAACAGAGAACTGTTAAGGACTGGATTATCAAAATAATTCCGTACACCACGTGTCCTATTATAGACCTTGTCGACAAGACTTACAATATTCAGTAAGGGGAGAAATTTCTTGTTTGAGATATTTTTGAAGGAATTATGAGATCTTTGTACATTTCTAGTACTTCCAACGACTATTGACATAGGCCTACATGTATATCCAATACCCAAATCCCCCACCGAAAATATCAAAAATCAGCGCCACAGATCTCAAGACATTAGTTCTTACCTTCAGTTTTAGCCTTAAAGAACGATGGAACCATACATGCAAAGGCATCAACACCGACTTGTCCTGCATGTTTACTCTAAAATAAAAAAAATAAGCTAGAGTTGAAGTGTTGAAGTGTTGAACAGGCTTAGCTGTGGGAGTCCGTGGGTAGTGGCGTCTTTATTTTATGATTTTACATAGTGAAAGAATTTCCGGTGTCCACCCTAAGCCCCCCTCCCCCTCCCAGCACCTCCCTCCTTCCATTCTCATATTCCATTGTCTATTATTGGTTGTGGAACTAATCCTGTAAAACAGTATGTTGTAATATAAGAGAAGATCTGAACTTACTAATTCTATAGCCTCTCTCTGATTACAACCACCGGTTTGGGCAATGATAACAAATCTGTAAAGATAGTGACGTCATAAAACGCTTTGTCTGATTGAATATTGGAATGGTGCAAATTGATGCAATCAGTGTACCCGATACACATAACATTTTAAAAAAACTTCTTTACAATCTCTTTAACAAGGACAATTAACATGGACACGTCTCGGGACTCATGAGGGGCGTGTGTTCCATCAATAGAGTGTAATCTCTTACTTTCCCTTAGCTCTCTCAATCCACAATTCTAACACCGCCTTTCTCTCGTCCACAGTTAAAGATGGACCTTCTCCATTTGTCCCTGTAGCTGTTCATTTAAATAAATACAAAGTTTAGATATTTAAATTATTCAAGAATTCAAGACAAGGCCCTACCGACATCCATTGAAATTAGCGAGGACTAGCTCATTGAATAGTTATTTGGGAGCAAAAGATGTAAAAAGACGCGAAGTCGTTCAGACGGAACAATAAAGTGAGGTGTACATGCTACAAGTTGAGCATGTCCAAGACATTTGGAAATGTTTCTGCTGAATCACCTGCCTTGGCAAGATTTCACCCAATTGAACACTACATGGCGTTGTCCGACTTCATTCACCGTACTAGAATCTTCAATCATAAATTAGAAAAACTAATATTGTATATCTTTTTCTCCAATACGCGTTGCAGGTATAAATTAAATGATTTTCTCAATTAGCTTGGAGTTGCTTTCAGTGCAACCATACACCATTGCCCCTTCATATATATTACTTCCCCAACCCTGAACAATCCTCTTCCCTTACATTAACGACGACCACCTGCCCACCCAGGGTTAAAAATGCCTTTAGGATAAGAATAACTCACTGTAGACAGCGGTAACTTTCTGATCTTTTAGAAATTTGATGTATTTGTCCATTACGTCTGGATCCAACTCGACATCCCTGTTAAATATTGATAATTTTACCTAGATATGATGTCATATGATGGGAATTGAGGTGAAGAGGAGTGGGGGGGGGGGAGGATCTGTTGTGATGATGTATGTCCTGCAATGTAGAATCATATAGTGCGCCCCCTCCCTCAATCTTGAAAGATTCTAGTCTCCTTTCGGCCATCAAAATGAAGCATCTGAGTAGCCGATCTTACCGATCTTACCCCTAACGCTGGGTTGATTACCCCTAACCCTGGGTTGAAACACTGTTTTGTGCCGATCTGTATTAACACCCAATGTTGAGCTACGTATACATTTTGCAATGTGATTAAATTAATACAAATCAGACTATTATGAATAAAATAAATATTTTCAGTTATTGGTTCGTGATTTATCTTCAGTTGACTAAACTTTCCACACACATGAACTAAAAACACGACATGCAGAATCCAGAACATGGTATATAAATTTTTTAAAAAGTGGCAGTATGCAAAAACTAAAATATGTTATTTACATCTATGTTTCTACTTCATCAAACTGAATTTGTTTTAAAACGGTCAATTAAGAAGGGAATGTACTAATTAACTAATTAAGCATAATTACAGTGAATTCTAAAATGTTCAATGACAAATGTTTAAAGTGAAGATTTCATTTACGCAACAGACATTTTGTATGCAATACCTGAGTTGATGACAGTTTAACAAATATCATTTATGCTATTTTTAATATATATAATAGTAAGGATTTATAGGGGTGAGGGTAATAGTAAGGATTTATAGGGGGGAGGGGGTAATAGTAAGGATTTACAGGGGGGAGGGGGTAATAGTAAGGATTTACAGGGGGGAGGGGGTAATAGTAAGGATTTATAGGGAGAGGGGGTAATAGTAAGGATTTATAGGGAGAGGGGGTAATAGTAAGGATTTATAGGGGGTGAGGGTAATAGTAAGGATTTATAGGGGGGAGGGGGTAATAGTAAGGGTTTATAGGGAGGTAAGGATTTATAGGGGGTGAGGGTAATAGTAAGGATTTATAGGGGGGAGGGGGTAATAGTAAGGATTTACAGGGGGGAGGGGGTAATAGTAAGGGTTTATAGGGAGGTAAGGATTTATAGGGGGTGAGGGTAAATAGTAAGGATTTATAGGGGGAGGGGGTAATAGTAAGGATTTATTACACCTACCCATTTTCTTTCAGTGCTGTGCCTGTCAACAGACGGATGATTTTGGTAACTTCTAGTCCCTGACCATGCTGACAGTGGCGTTTCTACGGGGGGGACTTATGTTTCCTAAAAAACGCCACTGCTCGCTGACCACAGTGACACAGTACACAGGTTTGAAATAATGGAGGTGAGGTGGAATCAGTCTTATTAAAAATACAAGCTTACCTATTCGATTGTTGTGTCTTGCCTTGACAAGATTTGTCACGTGATATCTTGTTATCGCATTGATAAAATTATTTTGTCATCGGACTTGTTATTGTAATAATGTATTCTACTCATGATTTCTCTTGATACGGTTTAGAGTAACTCAATTGTCCTCGGACGTTCTAATGTGATAACGTCGAAGTTTAAGGCAGACTGAAAAGGTCACGTCCGGTTCTATAATACACATTTAACTGACGGAGTTGTATGAAGTCTGTGAAGCTTTACCCTCGGAAAATTTTGTTGTACCAGGTGAGGCACTGCATGGGACATTACAGAATACAAAAACTAGCGACCCAATGACAGATCTAAAAGCAACTCCTGTCAAATGTGTATGGCGGGGGAAAGCGGCCAAAAACCTAATGCTACGTAGAAATGTCTAATTTACATTACTTACATTTCTCCACTCAATTATCTTTATTTAGGTCAATGTCAAGGTCGAAGTATTTTATAATCGACACAATAATTTCTCCTAAACTAAGGGGGGGTAACTCTTGTGGGGTTATAGTCGAATGTCCCCATATGTCAAATGTCCTCATATGTCAAAATGGCTGTACTTGATGCTGCCAACATCTTATCTCAAATATCGATCTTCAATTTTATTTAAATAACCCAATCAAGTACAGATACATTCAACATATTGCTAAATTAAGATTATCGGCACATAATTTAGATATTGAAACTGGAAGATTTAAAAAGATTGAAAGAAAAGATAGAAAATGTACACTTTGCAACCTGTTTTTTTTAAAATTGATACAATTGTTATCTGTAAATAATGTAAAAGAGTTATCGAAACTTGGTCTGTTTTTATTTTTATTTAACCAAAGAGGAAATGAGACTAATTGAAAGCTGTAATTGTTTATATATCTGTATATATCTGTATATATCTGTATATATCTGTATATGTCGCTATGTATTATGTATTCTGTATGCCCGATGAGCATACTGTCTTAAAGAAATAAAGAATTGGATGAATTGTGATATCACTATGACTCCAACATCTTACGCAGGCAATTTGGAAAAAGTGCCAAGAACTGAGTTTGCAGGTATGTCTTATTTATACATCTATAATACCATAATAACCTTCACTAACATTACATGATATAGCAGTTATTAAGAAATATATGGGGACATCTTGACTAAAAGGACTCACTCAACTAAAACATTTTATGCAAATGATTGTATAATGTAGTCCAGGCTATTTTTAGAAATCTTCTTTCTCTCTTCCTTTTGAGGTTTCTGCATATCTATTTTTAGGTAATTTTTGGTCTAGATTTGGAATTTGATGTCTGAAATTGCATTATCTTTCAGATTTGGTGAGATGATGAGAGACCTAAAGGCGGAAGGCTAATTCTAAAAATAGTCGTTTTGTGAAGTGCCAAACTTAGTGGATGAGTATAACTGGTAGTAGTCTACTTTCAATTTTAGTAGCTCAAAATTTTCATGGTCATCATATAATGAATTTTTTAGGAGATATTGAGAACTGGTTAGGCTTTCATTCGACATATTGGAAAGCTTTCAACGAAATTTCTGGAAAAAGTAATAGAAGGTTGAATTTCGTGTTTTAACATGGGAAGAGATGGCAAATGAATTAGTGGAGTGAGTCCATAACCCCACAAGAGTAACCCCCCTTAGTTTAGGAGAAATTATTGTGTCGATTAGAAAATACTTCGACCTTGACCTAAATAAAGATAATTCAGTGGAGAAATGTAAGTAATGTTAACAAGAAGTCATCTAATGTTTATGGTAGATGTTTCAGATTGTAAAATCAATTGTGCATAAGAGGTTATATGCATTTTGTATTAGAGGTTTCTTGTTTTTTGTAGGTTTTTGCCGCTTTCCCCCGCCATAAATGTGACCTTTTGAGTCCGTTGTAACATCACATCAGCATATCACGCCTGGGGAAAGAGAGGGGAGAGATATGACTGACTAGGTTTCTATAAATAACACCAGCCATCACTTAACTCTGGGTTATATTCTAGAGGATGGTCCACTGGGGTACTATTATCTGTTTATAGAAACACCAGACATCACCTAACTCTGGGTTATATTCTAGAGGATGGTCCACTGTTGTATTATTGCCTGAAACACCAGACATCACATAACTCTGTAATTTGTCATTCCACTTATATGAGTCATTCCTCTAGTTGTTTTCTGGTGTCACGTCAGTTTCCATTTCACTAGACCGAAACACCCTGTCTCTCAATATTATATAGAGTCAGCTTGTCGGTCTACCATTCCACATGACAGATTCTATCTTTTTAAAGGTGTTCTCCAGTTTCTATAAGTTTCCAATAGTTTCTATTAGTTCTCAATAGTTTCTATTAGTTTCCAATCTATTATTTCCAATAGTTTCTTAGTTTACAATAGTTTCTATTAGTTTCCAATAGTTTCTATTAGTTTCCAATAGTTTCTATTAGTTCCCAATAGTTTCTATTAGTTTCTAATAGTTTCTATTAGTTTCCAATGGTTTCTATTAGTTCCCAATAGTTTCTATTAGTTTCTATTAGTTTCCAATAGTTTCTATTAATTTCCAATAGTTTCTATTAGTTCCCAATAGTTTCTATTAGTTTCCAATCTATTATTTCCAATAGTTTCTTAGTTTACAATAGTTTCTATTAGTTTCCAATAGTTTCTATTAGTTCCCAATAGTTGCTATTAGTTCCCAATAGTTTCTATTAATTTCCAATAGTTTCTATTAGTTTCCAATAGTTGCTATTAGTTCCCAATAGTTGCTATTAGTTTCCAATAGTTTCTATTAGTTTCCAATAGTGGCTATTAGTTTCTATTAGTTTCCAATCTATTATTTCCAATAGTTTCTATTAGTTTCTAATAGTTTCTATGAATTACCAAAAGTTTGCAATTATTTTTAATTACATGAACTAGTAAAAAATGATATGATTTGAAATGTTTACATTTAAACAAACAGGGGTTCATGACAGTTAGGAAAAGTAATAATCACTCTTGTGGAATATAGGGTTAGCAGGGTGGACTGGGACGTGTGTATTTGCTTCAAATTACAGTGTGTGTGCGTGTGCATACATTACGCATAAGAAATGTGGTTTTGATGACAAGGTTTTGTACTAAACTATATTTAAATGGTGTTATTCTTATCTTATCATTTTATTATATGACTATCGTATTTACATTAATACAATGAAATAAAATTGGTAATGGTGGCCATTTTGAAGGGCTTAAGTGAAGTTTTAGCTACTTGTACGTTTCAAAATTCATCAAGAAGTATTTTATTGAGGTCCTTATGCTGAAAAAGATTTATTATTTAGACATTTGTTATAAGAAATCTAGGAAATGACGGCCATTTTTGGACGCCATTTTGGATTGCAGAAACGATCATAGTAAATTTTTTGAGGACTGTCAGTATATTAGTAGTCAACCTATCCTAAAAAAACACTTTAAGAGAAATGTCTCAGCTCAAGAGCCCAGTTTGATATTATGATTTTCCATCACAAGCGGACACGAGATGCCAAACGACAGGAGGATGTAAAAACCTTTCCCCTAGGCAGAATCATTGGGGAAATATTTCTGGAGTTCACCTAACTATACTCTATCAGAAAAACTAAGAATCATCCCTGTCTCGTTTTTTTCCAATAACCCTGACATTTTGGAGTAATTCTATTCGACTACTAAAAGGATGTATACACTGTACTAGGTGTTTCGAAATTAGACCCCCCACCCCTCAACACTTTTTTTTCAATTTGCTGAAGGTGGTAGGGGTGAGATAGGGCTTTTTCTAAACATTAGTACATTCAGTTCACACTGTGAGAGAGAGATACAAAATCAAGAATTGATGAAATTTAAGAATTTTATTATTTACACTTTTTACATTTCTTCAATAACAAATTTCATTTCATTATCATTTTAATCAACTAAACTGGTATGGTCGGACTGCTAGATTGAAGGTTGTCTGTCTTAATTACCTTCAACTTAATTAACAACACCGATTCACATTCAATAAAGGGACAGATGCATCATTCTTTTACCTTAGTTTCAGAAACGGGATTTTTTTAGCTTAGCCAGTACTATCACTCTGTACTGTCCCCTTAAGGAATACAATAACATTAATTTCTTCAGTATCAGTCTAATTTAAATCATAAACACGAACAATTTAATAATATATTGTACTACCTGGATTAGCAGAAATAGTTTTACATGACTATAATATAACAAACAATTCAGATAAAATGGTAAAAGAAAATCATACATGTATCATGTTTATTACTGTCTCAAAATACATGTAGAGAGAAATGAAATGAAATGAATGGAGTTTTACATCCTACTTTTCTGCACAATGTGGGCTAATGAAGATGGTCAAAATAGAGAGGACTGCTTGTCTTAATTCTTAATATTATCTTTATATTATGAAGGAAGTTTCATATCTCTGCAAGATCAACATTTCAAAAACAATTTCAACAGCTCAATTAAAATCAGTTTTTATTTTCCCTTTCCTTTCGCTTTTCCACCTTTTCCTGCTTTCCCTTGAAAACCTTTATTTTTCTTGGGAGGTCGACCACCAGCCTTGCTCCTTCTCATTGGTTTATCTCCCCTTTTCTTTCTACCCCCTCCATCTTTAGTAAATACAGCACTGAAATAGATACATTGTATAAAACAACATTCAGTATATACTCTGATAATATCTACTAAAACAGACGTTACAACATAGTGCCCATGAGAAGCGGTGAATATTGCCAGGTCAACAGCCCAGGTGAAAAAAACATGGTCAATCTCTCTTTAAAACTTTGTATAGAATACATACCTTTCATCTGGTTCCTGTGACATGAAATGGCTGGCAGCTTTAGCCACGTTGATTGGTACCGCATGACTTAATGTCTTCAATATCCTCAGTTGTTTATCTTTTTCTTTTTTCATATCTCCCACACACGGTTCAAACTGAAATAGTCAGACCAACCAGATTTAGATTTATTGACTTTGAACGTAGACAAGAAACAATACAATAATGAAACAATAATGAATCTAGCCCCACAAACCCCCAATAATGAATCTAGCCCCACAAACCCCAATAATGAATCTAGCCTCACAAATCCCAATAATGAATCTAGCCCCACAAACTCCAATAATGAATCTAGCCTCACAAATCCCAATAATTCTAAGTTATAAAACATTTATAATGAAAATGCGAGGACCACAGATTGATGACTGAAAATTGGAATGGTCCAAATTGATGAATAAACTTCTAAACAATCCCAATAATTGTTATATGATTACTGAATATTTACCAGCTATCTTATAGGCTGCTAATAAATTATAATCAAATAATGGAATGATGTAAATTGAAGCTATCAGTGTACCTGATACACATAAAAAGTTAGAAACCTCTTTACAATCTCTTTATGAGTTACCTTTCGTTTTTTCCCTTTAACTGTATTTTTCTCCTTTGGTAATCTTTCTGTAAATTTTCCCAGTGAGGCTGTAGATTTTTTAGCCAGAACAAGAGCTCGACCAAGTTGATCTTTATTAGGTTTCTCTACAGGAGTCAACCCAACACCAGGTACTGTAATCAAATAAACATTATTACATTTTGTGGACACTCTGGAAGAGATGCTGAGTTGATAAACCTTGATACCTAATATACAGTATTAGCTATGTGGACTCTCTGAAAGGGGTGCTGAGTTGATAAAGCCAATAGCAGAATGTCATCAAGTGACAAGCTAAATTAGAAATGGAAGAAACTTGAATGCAGATTTATTAAAGTTTTATTTCTGTACCAAAAATATCTTGAGGGACAGAACTCTTTCATGAACAATTAATATTCTAAAGATAACTCTTTGATAACTGTCCACTTTTCTTTCCTCGAGATCAAGATGAGTCTATCAACCAAATAGGACACGCAAACAAAGTATCCTATAACTATTGTTATTGTAATAAATAATAAAACTTGACATCAAATACCATCTTTTAATACCCAACGTTTCATCAAAACAGTTTTGTAATCACCACATTGTTATTGCAGTGGCTTTAAGATTGTAATTGTAATTGTATTTGAGTGAAATTTAAAGAATTTTACCTTTTCCACCATATTGAGATCTAGCAATATTACGTAATCTCTGTAACTCATTCTTTGCTCTTCGTTCTTTTCGCTCTGTTATTCTCTTTTCAAACGGGTCCTCGTCATCAGCTGTAAAAACACAAATCACCTTGTAATGTCTGTCAATTTCATGCACCAAACAAAGCAAATACTTTAATTCTACTGTCAATATGTTCAATTTGATCATGATATTTTGTTGAAAAAAACCCGACATGAAATTTATCAATAATTTCATATCACAAGTCAAAATGGTCTTCCAAAATATCTCGGTTTATTTCAACTAGAAATCAACTAATAAATAATTTTGTTTTGTGTAGAATTTCTCATTTACAACAAAACGTTTTGAGAAACTCGGCCCTCGTTAAATAAGAAAATGTAATACCTGCATTAGATTTCATCTCTATTAACCAGTCTTTTGTATCATCATTAGCTCGATTGTAGCCATAACGGGGCCGAAATTCCTGGAAAAAAAATACAGTTTACACTAAATATCATTCTTATAACACAGTCAAATTCTCACCATCGACTTATTCAATCTAAATTTTTATAATTTAGTTGTTGAGTAAAAGTTTCAACTTCTAATCTTTTTGTGTCAAATTCACTTTTGTCAAATCTATCTGAAATAAAATTCTAAATTTTATACCTTGTGTTGTTCATCCCAGGCCATTTTATCTTTACCCTTCTTCTTATGAATTCCCTTGGCCTTCGCAAATTTCTCCCATTTTGTTTCTGGTCTAGGTTTAGGTAACTGAAAAAAAAATCATTTGGATTAAGATCTAGCTCTAATTTAAAATGATAATTCTAATGTAAAGAGCTGTGGATGTCTTTGTTTTGATGGTCTTTACAGGTATGACAATTTTGACTACAGATGATAATTCCACATGAATTAGAAAAATCTGAATTTGACAAGTTCTAATGCTATCATTATTTAGAAACAGTAAGAATTCAAAAGACAGAAAGAAAGAGTCAAAGTATTTAACTGAAAGATAAACCATACTTACTCTCTTCTCTCTAGGAATTAACGTCTTAGCTTTTGGAAGCTGGAAAATAAAAAACATACACTATACAACAAAAACATTAAAATAAATATTCCAGACATTAACAGAGAAAATTGCTTTCACAGACTTGGTAAGAGTCATTAAGGACACCAAGTAGACAACAGTTAGTAAGTTTCTAGTTAACTTAAAACTTTCTCAGAGGCTAGATAAAACATGAAATATTAAATGGAAATTTACATCTTACTTTTCTGCACCTAATTGGGCTAATGAAGATAGGCAATGCCACGCAGTGCACAATGAGGCAAGTTCGCAACTGATCAAACAGGTGTAAAGTATATTTTATTATCTTCAGACTAAATTCAAACGTACCTTAGCCAATACTGTATTATCAACTCGTTCTACTGGCAACTAAAATAAAAAAAGAATACTTAAATCAATAATCACATTTTACCCCATGTAGGCATAGTACATTGATCATGTGATTTAGGTATATTGCAAACAAATCATCACGCGATAGCCAAATATTGCAATCTGAATATTTATTCTTATTTTAGTCAAGCTTACTGCGAGGCAGGATAGAACTTGACAGGTTACAAATAAAACAATCGATGTTCAGTAGACTTGTCTCGTCTACATGTAAACAGTTAACCATTATAATGATGATGAGTTCTCTAACAAAATATTATAGACGCATTGTCTGGTATTTAACACATCCAGCATTGCTGGGTGCTGGTTGGTATGTAACAGCTAGCTAGTGAGAGAGGATGGGGAGGGAGTACATACCATCCATAACTGATTAAAGAGTAACTGTGTATTATCTCTAGCCAGGTTATTGATGAAGTCATCCTTATTCGATCTGAAAAATATATCAGGACAATTATTTTGTGAAGCTTTTTAACACCAGTAATGATAAACACATTATAATCATATACTAGGGCAGTAGCCTGTTACATAACTTGGAGCTATGTCAAGAGTATTTTATGGCCAGCATGGGATGAAATTGGCAAAACTGTGATCATGGACCCTTTCCAGTTCTTTGAAGAACTAATATTGAAAGGTCCACCAGAGCAGATCTAACTTTGCTGACAGTATCTGACCCAGAGCCGACATGAACAAGATATCTGGGTTTAATTTCAAATAGAAGCTGATGATATGTCAAACAAAATAGACCGAAGATCAGCAAGAAAGTCAAAGGAGGTTGACAGGCTGAAAATGTAAACAAACCCACGTGGGTTTTTCACGGACAGTTGAGACGGAAAAATGGCCATTTACTTGAACAATTTAACATCGATTGGGTTAGGATCACACGCCAGCAGGTTCCCTTCGTCGATTTCAACATCGGCATCTTTTTCAACGAAGATTGTTTTATATTTTGACTCTTTTTCAGCCTCTTCTCGTAAAATACTTTCCACGAGGTCTGCCATGTTTGCGGAAATGACGTTAAAATTACAGACTATGGAAATGATTGGCTTTTGACATCATTGTTAGAACCAATCAAAATATTTGTTACAAAATCATGAGGATATTTTTTCAGTTTCGATTATCCAGACTCTCGCTAACAAGGAAGACTGGATAATCTGAAATTTACTCACTTCCTGAAGTCCGACCGACTTCGTAGCTAAAAATGTCAGAATTTTACTAAATTTATGAATTTAATCACAAAATGACACTAATTTATGGTGGGATTTAGCTGAATATTCGCTGAATTTGGAGTTTGAAGGATTATCAAAATGTGGAAGAAGGAGAATTTGAGGAAAAACTTTCTTAGAGTGAAGCAAATAGCTGACCAAAATTTGGGAAGGTGGGGCAAATTTTTTTATTCATTAATTTTGACAAGAAGTTTGTCACTCCTATAAAATAAATCTTCTAAATTAATCTACCAGAGAGCCATTGTTGCAGAGAATAGGCTTTTTGTCTTTTAGGCTGAAATTGAAGTAGTCAAAGCTACAGGAATGCCACTCTGACAGCTGTAAAGACAGCCAATAGATGATTTTATATTGTTAGTTTATTGTATGTAGCCTACTGACTGACTGACTGGAAAATGACTCATTCCAGGACAGAAAGAAGAATAGATCTATACCTTCATTTTACTGTCATAAGCTTGTTTAATGGATATAAAATGGCTGAAACCAAATGAACTTGACAAAAAATTTGATCTGGCTACTTCAAACATTTACTAGATCTAATCCTTTTATGTGCATATTACTGTTAGTGAAACACGGTTCAATCTTGTGTTTGAGTAAATCATATTATATCTGCTGTAATACAAGCTTGAACCAAGAAACAGATAAAACATAACTGATGCATAACTTTTAGATAAAATGTTAGGCACAGGCCTTCATATTGATAATCTTAATCTTTTATTTACAACCAAACTAACCTTATACCTTGAATATAAATATTGGTAGGACTATGTCAACACTATCAGTTGAACTAAAATTGATAATAGGCCAGCGATATATCTTTATCACCTGTCCTTGGTTTCTTACATTCTAAGCAGGATTTGTGCATAATTATAAACTTTATTTATAAGTTACTAAAATGTACCAAATTCACAATTTTTTAATAACAGGAGGGCATTTGTTGTAATTTGAGGCTGGTGAAGCTTTTTATCATGTCGATATTGCAAAGGCCCTTAAATTTCATTGGCAGCTTATAGGTTTGGATAGTGACGTCATAAATCCCTTAGTTTTAGTGCAAGATTCACTGACGTCTGAACTAACACTAACAATTGGAATGGTTCAAATTGATGCTTCCAGTGTCCCTCATACACATAAACAGTTTAGAAAACCTCTTTACAATCATTTGGATCAAATTGGAATGGTTCAAATTGATGCTTCCAGTGTCCCTCATACACATAAACAGTTTAGAAAACCTCTTTACAATCATTTGGATCAAATTGGAATGGTTCAAATTGATGCTTCCAGTGTCCCTCATACACATAAACAGTTTAGAAAACCTCTTTACAATCATTTGGATCAAATTGGAATGGTTCAAATTGATGCTTCCAGTGTCCCTCATACACATAAACAGTTTAGAAAACCTCTTTACAATCATTTGGATCAAATTGGAATGGTGCAAATCAATGCTATCAGTATAACTGATACACATAAAAAGTTTAGAAAATATCTTAACAATCCCTTGAAGTAGAATAAGAACGAGGAATATAAGAATATTAGGCTGTAGGTTATTTGAGGGTGGTACATTAAGAAGAATTAGAACCAGGAAAATAGACCAAATTGCCTAGTTTCAAGATTATTTTATATGACTATAGTAAATCATTGAGCCATGATGATTCATAATGTTTGATTTTACATCCTTGTGTACCTTGTTTTTATTTATTCAGTTCTTTAGTCATTTTTGTGTTACCTTTAATAGATTAATTGTATATTGTTGAAAATCAGATTATTTATAATAAGTTATCAGCACATGAAGTTTATAAATCAATTATTACTCTTTCTATTAATATTAGGCCTTATGGGAAAAGCATAAACAATTTTATTCAACGACAAAAAAATGATAAATCTGTGTACAAAAGGAGATATGTTTGTTTAACAATTGTTGTTATTTTGAACCTTGTGTATCCCTTAATACTAGTCATGAAATTAAGACACAACTCTGTAAGCCTTCATACACCATTCACTGTTTGTTTATAAGTAAAAATCTTTTCATATGTAAGTTATTTTACTGGTGAATGTTCTCTGATTGTTAAAGTCTATCCAACTGAAGAATTAGTATTAACATGCTTTCTTGCACATCTTTTCTCATTGAATAACATTCATTCAACAACATCTGTATTGCTACAAATAACTTTATTTTTCATGATATTAAGTGTAGAAATGAGAGCTTGCAACAGCAGCTTGTATAAAGCAATTGGTTGTAAAAACAAGTACTGCTATTTTTAAGAGGGGAATTATGTTAGTGAAACACGAGCAAAAGAGGTTATAAAACCTTAAAATGAGAGCATACACAAGCAACAATATATCAAGAATTGAAAAAAAGATCACGTCTTTCTGAGTTATTAATTTCTCTGAAAATGCGAAGTAAATGTACCTTATGTTTTGTTATCTAGAGGAACATCAGTAATAATGAGAAATTTATAGAGCTGTAAAATGAGAGCACATACCAGCACCAAAATATAAATTCTTCAACAAAGTAAGACTGCCTCGTGTACAGACTTGCAATTGGTGAAACAAAAGGGATATATTAATTATTATTAAATGAGAAATGTTAAATCTTTTCGAACTATTGTCTGCTAATAATGTGAAGTTAGCATGTCACCTATATATTATATAATATAGATATTACCGTACATACTGTATAAATAGAGCTCGAGCTCGATAATATCTTATTATAATTTCTAGACCCATCTTCACTGTGTCAAGATATGACAAACTCTGTCTTATTCCTTGACATCATTAGGCACTTAACTTGTATCACTGAAGTTTGTAAATGCAGCAATTTGATTGGATTGTATGCAATTATTTACAGCCAATCAGAGCCCTTGACTTGAAGTTATACTTAAAGCAATATTGTTAAAAGTATTTATAGAGCTCTGCGTGGTATTTGCTGGCAAATAATTCAATTCAAATGCTGCATTTACAACCGTCCAAGCTACAAGAGACGTATCTAAGATGTCAAGGCATTAGACAGAGTATGTAATACCTTGACATTGTGAAGATTATGAAGTCTATGATTTCAACTAGATCTTGTCATATCCTAGACTAGGTGGATATTGAATAATAATTTATTGATTAGAATTATACAGCGTATCAAGTTTCTTATAATAATCAGTTAAACGAATAATCAATTAAGATGAACCTAAACGAGGCTATAACAGGGATGTTAGTGTGACATTTATATGTGATCTTTACCAGCCGTGTCTGACTAGAGCTCTAGACTATTGATTTGGCTAAATTTACCAGGCATGTCTGATTAGAGCTCTTGACTGTTGATTTGGCTGTGTTTACCAGTCATGTCTGGCAATTGCTCTGTATATTTACCAGTCATGTCTGGCAATTGCTCTGTATATTTACCAGTCATGTCTGACAAAAGCTGTTCAGTGTTGATTTGAATATTTACCAGCAATGTCTGACTAGAGCTCCAGTCTGTTGATTAGGCTATCAGTTCTTGACTTTTTGACTGTAGTTTGTCAGCCATAAGTGTAAAAGAAGTCTTAAAGTATATAAACTAGGCACACAACAGAAATTGATGGCCATATTGATATTGTCTTGAACACTTTCATTCATCTGTAGAACACAGCCATTGTACAAACCCCATGTAGTATGCAGAATCCAACTCAATTATATAGTTGAATTGTTGAAGAACTTGTAATGAAAGATTAATTTTATGCGAGTAGAAGAGTTGATCCTTTCTCTGAATTTTGAGTTTTTAATGGTTGATGGAGCATGGAAAGAAAATCAATATGTCTTCTTACTGTCAATGGTTCTCCTTTTGCAAGTTTTGATTTTTTAAAGCAGGTTGATTTCCATGTCATTATTACATAGAATCAAACAGAATAGATTTTTTAACAAGACAAAGGTTGTTGGGAGAGTTCCTGATTATTTTTATCAATGACTTCAAATTGCCTTGATGTGCAAATTCAGAAATAAGTTTAATCAACATTCAAAATTATTTTAGTTTTTTTTTTGTTTTTAGAATTGCATTGTAATTATTTTGTGTGTTTTGTTTTAGTTTAAAACCTGTACGTAATGAATGTTTTTAAAGTTATAATTGAATTTTTTTAAAACCAAAATAGAAAGGTAATTCAACGATCAAGAATGAGAGTCAGCTGGATAGACTCATGGTATCAAAAGTTCTAAATTATTTTGAAGGATTATAGTACTGATGACAAGGCAACTCGCGAGGCACTCACTGTTGCTTCAGAATTTTTCTTTAAAAATTATTCAAACTCATGACACCATCTATGAGAGATTGATTATGATGTTAAAAGAATCAACAAGCCAACATGGAGGATGTAAAGGTCTTGAAATGAAAAGGGGCTGACAGCTAGTTTATATGTTCGAACTTGAGATTTCAATGTGTCTAGCTATTTTCTTGTGAATAACCAGACAACGGCTTTGATAAATATAGATTTTGTAAAATTGTGATCAGATTAAACTGATCATTTTATAAAGTTCATTTCAGATATTTCAACCTGGTTTCCCTTGTCAGTGATGTAGGTAAGAGGGACTGACAAGGAAAAAGCGTTGAGTCGTTCGTATGGGACAATAAACTGAGGCCCTGTGTGCTACAGGCTGTTCACATTAAAAATCCCTCGACAGTTGGAAATATCAAAAAAATATTGGTTAATGCTGCTGTCCTGGCAAAATTTCCCTCATTGTACACTGCATGGTGTTGCCTGTAAAGACTATTAAAGATTTTAATTAGATATTCAAGTTATAATATTAGAGTATAAGGAGTT